CTTTTAAAAACCCAGCTCTCATGCTGTCTCGTTCCGTTTGCATATCGCATGCCCTTACATAAATATTTTACAAGGCAATTTGCCCATGTTTCGAGCCAACATCTGCATGTCTTCGGCTATTATCTTATTTAGTACGAAGAAGTCTTTGGGCTGAAGAGCGGCCACGTTGCTGCCTGCACGCTGGTAGCCATGGGCAAAACCCTCATTAAGAATAGTCCATTTCAAGCTCAGCTATTAAATAAATTCCAAGATAAAATTAAAATCAGCTGTCTCTGTTTGCCTTTGGGGTGTAAGTCCATACAGCATGACGCTGTGTGGATTTTTACGCGGATACCAAGTTCTCGAAGACGCAAGATTCCGTCTCATCTTCAGATATTCTGTGTCGACGTTCCTGGTCTGAAGTGTTCTACAATGATTTTCCTTGTTGTTTCATTTGTACCACACTAAACTCTTCTGTGGAATATAAAAGGCTACACGTGAACCTGATGTGGTCTGTGGTTTGCCAATAGCTGTTTTTGTTTCTCCTTTAAGTTTGTTCGGAAATTGTTTTTCGCCCTGTTCATTGGAGCTCAGAGTTGCAGTGGTCTCTTTATTAGACAGCTGCTACTTTAATTGCGTATATTTTCATTTTTCTGAGTTTCGATCTTCTCGTATTTCATAAAAATCACGTTTCCAATTTCAGGACATTCGTTTCGTGTCTTTCAAGCTAATTTCATCAGGAGGATTAAAGGTTCTTTACGTTGAACGCTGACAAATGCAATTAAGCATTTCGGTGACAAAGAATCGAGTTGCTACTCTTTCAGAGGTTTGTAAACTAGTCTGTTAATAATTTATAAACAATGAATTGATATTAATATCATACCTTCAATTTTGTTATGTTTCTACTCGGTTGTTTTCGTTCAGGACGGTGTAACATAATTTATTTATCATATATAGCGGTTAGAACGCTGGCCTTGTAATCCTGGGGGTCTCGGGTTCGATTCTCGGCGGTGCCCGAATTTATAACTTGTGTTGGGCAAGGCCGTGGTCTAGGCAACACGGAGTTTTCCTCCGTGGCATCCCAACAATTACTCCATTCACACACAGAAGAAGGCAATGGCAAACCACTTCTGGATCATCTGCCAAGAACATATATGAACAGGTCCCAGTCCGAGAAAAAGATGGAAGGATCCTGTTCATATGGACATGTCGTCAGACAAAGATGAGGTGGTCTAGGCAACACGGAGTTTTCCTCCGGGGTCTTCCCCGGTTTCTCCGTGGCATCCCATTCACCACCAGAAGAAGGCAATGGCAAACACCTTCTGGATCATCTGCCAAGAACGTATATGAACAGGTCCCAGTCCGAGAAAAGGATGGAAGGATCCTGTTCATATGGACCTGTCGTCAGACAGAACACTAAATAAATAAATAAATAAATATTACGACCTAAACAGATCAAGAGACAGGGCTTATGATAACGTTTGGTACATGCTGTCACATAAGCACAACTAATGCGAGGTGTGGTATTAGTTTCGCATGTCTCATACCTGAACTTTGGCCTTTATCCGCACAACCACACTCAACGGAATTAACGTTGTCGTAAATTTTACATTTAGAAACCTCACAAAATTATTTATCGAGGAGCGTCGTCATGTGATTAAGCACGCGTATGAATAAGTATGACGTCACTCAGTTTTAGGATAGAGCGGGCAGTTGCTTATACACCAGTAAAGTAAAGTGACTTAAAGAAAGACAGACGACTTTGTGTTGTTTGTTTTTGGGAGGATTCGCTGAGCTAGCAATCTTAACACGAACGCTCAGCTGCAAGTCTTGTGTACAATTCTGAATTACGACAAAGTAAGAAGTCTGACAGTAAATGGTAAACCTCTCTTCTCTTGGTTAAAACGTTAAAAAAAACATGCTTTATCCCGAAAGATAGTAATTTACATACTTCTGAATAATTGCGCAGGTATTTGCATGTGAAAACAAAACATAACGCATGTTGAATAAAGTTATCGACGATGGACGTTGGGCCGAATTCTGGTTACTGAAGATGAGATACTGCATTTTTCTACTTATGACGTGCGACGCTAGCCTTGTAATCCTGGGGTCCCGGGTTCGAATCCCGGCGGTGCCCGAATTTATAACTTGTGTTGGGCAAGGCCGTGGTCTAGGCAACACGGAGTTTTCCTCCGGGGGCTTCCCCGGTTCCTCCGTGGCATCCCAACAATTACTCCACTCACACCCAGAAGAAGGCAATGGCAAACCACTTCTGGATCATCTGCCAAGAATATATGTATATGTATTTATGAGCAGGTCCCTCATAACCTGAAGAGGATGGAAGGATCCTGTTCATAATATATGGACCTGTTGTCAGACAGAACACTAATAATAATAATAATAATAAAAAAATTACTTGTGAATATGCAATCCCTTATAACGCGTGTCTCAGGTATCTTAATAATCTTTCCGTTGAGGGATGGAGCTGTTTAGTGTTAATGTAACAGTTCAGATGAACGTTTCGAGCGTCTGACGGGGCTGATTATGGAATCTGAACGTAGTGGGACTGTGACACCCCGAACCTGCGGATCAGCCACAATAGTTTATTTCAGTGGAACAAATGCAGTGTTTCTGGAATTCTGGGCAGAAGGGTTGAAGCTGGAAATTCCTCGGTCGGTCAATTGCACCTTTTATACACAGTCCGGTTGAGGTCAGCGCCATCTGCCCCGTATCTCGAATTGCGAACGTTCCCGCATCTCTCTCGCCTTGGGGGTGGGGGGTGGGGAGACCGGAACTTTGGTATGTTTCTCGTACAGTCTAGCTAGAATATAGTAGACAACGATTTGATTGTTCATGGTGATGAATTACGAGAGATATCACGTAAGTATGAAGATGACTTGTCTTCTGGGATGTTGCGCCATGTAGTCTGGCAGATATTACGTGTCACTGAAACGTCGGAAAACTTCTACGAGACTACACGGTGAGTTATCTCAGAAGGCTGACAGATACAATGCTTTGGATGTTGAAAAGGGGGGCCATTTTATTCCGTTATTTCCACGTCACATTTTTGAAGCTGAAGTGTTTGGTCTGAAGGCCGAGATGGAACTTGTTGAATTATAGGCACAAAGTTTCCAAGTTTTTCAATTGAAACAGCGCAGAACCTTCGCCACGCAGCCTCGCTCACCTCATTGCCTCTGGGTTGAAATTCCCGTTTTTAAACTTCTTTCATATCTTCGCGGAATATCTAAATAGAACTTGGTAATGTTAGTTTCCATAGCAATCGCAAGGAAATGCCCATCCATCACGTTTCATTTCAGGAGCAGTTATGCGACTTCTTAGTGTCGTACCCAAATATTTGTAGTTGTCTTTAGTGACTACATAAAGTATCTTGATTTTTGTATATTCAGCCGAGTACTTTACACAGCGGGAAGCTTCTTTGGGCCCTGAATGGCAAAGTTGTGTCCACACGTAATGTATCCTAGCTCGAATACTGCAAGTAAAATTTTACGACTTGATAAATATATCGTAACGCTAGCCATAAAAACGAATAGGAAGCTCGGAGACCTGATTATGTAACTTCTTTCAGAAACTCGTGGTATGGAAACATATTTTGCGCATCATAGGAAACTGCTTTATGTAGCGAAACGTCTTCTGCGTCGTCTTCAGCGTTTGCGGACTAAACCGTATGGACTTGCACATTTCGGAATGATTTATGGAATTATTAATCTGTTTACACACTCAGCAAGACCCCTTGGGCTGGGATCAGCCGTACGAAAAACCTCTACAAACACAGGACAGCAAAACACAGAAAAACATACAGTCGTGTCTCGAGTGAGATTCGAATCCATGACCACAATTTTCGAGCGGTAAAGAGTCGACGCCTGTGTCTTTCCACCTTTGAGTATTAAAAACTGTTTAATCCCCTTAAGCCGTAGCTCGTCTAAATAATAATTAATAAATTAGTCCGTACCACAGAGAAAACACAACACGTCAACATTAGAAAGATCAATTTTTTAATGCTGTTTACGGAAATAATCCCTGTTTACACCGAGAATTATACAAGACCCATGAATATAAAATTCTGTTTACTGATTGTAATAGCAGGTGGTACACAAAGTTCCCACTGGGTCTTAGAGGGTTAAATATTTTTGATAAATAGACTGTGAAGTTATGGACTTAATTCTACTGGCTCTGTGAACGTGGCGTGAACCGACTGACACCAACCTTCATTAAACAAATTAACTAACTAACTAATTAATTAACTGCATGGAGCACAGTCCTTCTTGACAAGCCGATAGTACTCTCAGCTACTCAATAACTTCCCCACTTCACATGAAACCCAAAGGTTCATTGACGTGTTCTCAGGAACCCGCCACCGGTCCCTATTCTGATCCAAATGAATCCAACGCCGCCCAACCAGATTTCCCTGAGATCCATTTTAAGCGACTCTTTGTCAATGTTGTGAATATTTACTTCTCTAAACGAGTCTAAGGTGGCTAGCTTCACGCCTATAAACTCTTAAGTTGATACAGTATCGTAAAATAACATAAGAACCAATTGGAAGATGGCCGTCTTCTTGGTGGTAGCGCCATGTAATGTATGTAGAAGTTTATCAATCGTTTCACAAGTCCTTGTTGCGTCCATCGTCAGGGCGATGATCATTGGTCGGTTAACTTCTACCAGACTACACGGTGCTACAACCCAGAAGACAGCCATCCTCGTACTCACGGCCGTGAAAGCCTCAAACCCAACTGCATGCCATGAACTTCTCAAATATATGAGGTCAGTTTGTAAGTTGATATAATTGCGTCATATTGTGAATTAAAATTTAATTATTCGTGTTTTTTCCGTCTAATCATAACTGTATATAAATAAAATACATTATGTACCAAATATATAAATGATATTTTAATATCTTATGTATAAATTTTATTTATATACAATTGTGATTACACGGAAAAAACACGAATAATTAAAGAGGTCAGTTTGTCTGATTTAATGACTGGAAATGTTCAACTTACTAAATGGTGGCTTTTGTCTTCTTACGTCTCGAGTGTTCGCTGTACTTCCGGGTTAGCCGCCGAGGTTGGCACAGCCCACGATACATCCTGTAAACAAAGCAGTTGGAACCAATGTTACACAGAAAACCACATGAAGCAAATATGAAATGCAGACTTATTTTAAAACAGCATTTAACCAACTAAGAGTGAGTTGCTGGTAGAATTTATACAGCCAGATCAGACAATACGCAAAGTGATAACATTTTGCGACACAAAGTGTTAGTGTGCCTTCGACTTCTGCTTAAATTTTGTTCTGTAAGTTCTTCCTAACCAACAAAATCTAAAAATCAACTCGCTTGTCTTCTTATATTGACGTCACCAAAGCTAACAGTTACTGCTGTAGTTATGGTTGCGTTTTAAGTGGATCATTCTGTATTATATGGAGAGCTTACGAACTTTTTTTCCAAGTCTCGTCACGTAACTGATTTTATTACGTAGACTAAGCTACGAGCCATGGCCGGCATCCAAAGTTGACATCAGACGACTTTATTTTCTCTGCTTCGAACTAACACTCCATGGAGCAGAGTCATTTTTGAGAAGCTGATTATCGCTAAGGTGGTCAAAAAATTCCCTTGCTTTTAGGGAAGCAGATTGTTCATTAAATTGTCCACAAGAGCCCGCCGTCAGTTCTTATTCTGAGCCAAATAAATCCATTCACCACCCTCACACCCGACATCCATCTACGCCTAGGTCTTTCAAGTTGTCTCTTTCCTTCAGGCTTCTCAACCAAATTTTTTCCCCCTCATGTTTCCCATGCGCGCTACATGTCTCGCCCATCTTTTCCTCTGAGATTTGATCCTCCCAATAACAGGCCTGTTCGGTGAAGTGCAGTTTCTTCCAGCATCCTCTCACTTCATCCTTCTCAGGCACTCTCAGTTTGAGGTTTTCCCCTCACACGTGCTTTGAATTAAGATTGTAATTTCGATGTACGTGCTCGGCTTACGACGTGCGTTCAACGCAGCCGGCAGGAGCGTACCGAGTCTATTTGATTTGGAAACGTAGTTAATATTGAAGATTTCTGTCTTCTGGGTTATTGCGCTGTGTAGTCTGGTCGATGTTAACCAACGTTTCAGAGGTCATACTGCCTCCGTCATCAGGACGATTCTTAGTATGAAGATTTCTGTCTTCTGGGTTGTTGCGCTGTGTAGTCTGGTCGATGTTAACCAACGTTTCAGAGGTCATACTGCCTCCGTCATCAGGGCGATTCTTAGTATGAAGATTTCTGTCTTCTGGGTTGTTGCGCTGTGTAGTCTGGTCGATGTTAACCAACGTTTCAGAGGTCATAATTGTTTCTGGAACATTTTTCTCCAGCGAAGTGATTGTTACGTTTGTGGAAATTTCACAAGTTTCTGGTGCAAAACAACTTGCATAATCATGTAATGGATGTCGTGGAGAGTAGCACGGCGTGGACTTGTAGGTAAATACCAACGTTTCGGAGGAACATACTGCCTCTATCTTCAAGGCTGAAGTGAGGTTGTTTGGAAATGGATATTTTCTTTGTAGGAGGACTAGACTAGGGGAAACTGGCTAAGTAGAGTCAAGGAGTGATGAGGAGTTAATGCCTGGCACTTAAGTACGCACACAATAACCGTACTTAAGTTGTCAGTAATTCGACTAAAATGTGAGTGTAACCAGGAAGTCTAATAACACGCTATTAATTATTGTGAATCAGCAGCGCCTATTAAATTAAATGGCTCCCAGAGTAGCGAGTAATTCGAGAACTATCGAGGTTCCCGGAAGTGCTGTCATCCCGTAAAAGCCGTTCTGTGTACTTACTCATTTATTATTTAAGAGGCGAGGGTCTAGAATGGAGCGGAGGCGCCATCTGTGTGCAAATTGTAAAGCAATGAACTTAACACTTGAAAGACGATGAAAATTTTTATGGCCTTTTCTGTATCTGTGAACCTTTGTCTTCTTGTTCTTACGCGCATAAAACTAGTCGCTGCTTGTCGCGTCTTTATCCTGCGGATATGTCAGATTATGAGAGATCCTGTGTTGGGTATAAGTGAATTATTATTATTATTGATGAATTGAAAATACATGAAAGGAAAAGGCGCTTCTTTCTTATCTCTTTTATTTCTATTTATCTGTCTTTCTCCTTGCCTCCATTTTGTCTCCCCCCGGCCACGTCACATAACCAGAATTCAAAATGGCGACAGTTCTTTGTGCCAGCTTATCGTAATGCACTGTACGGTTTGGTTAGCCTATGCTTACCTCGGATGCTGTTTCATCGAGCATCCAATATCTTCACAAAAGTTTTGTAATGAGCTGAGCTCCCGAGGGAGGCGCGCGCGTAAGCTATCAGTCGGTCCCGTTCAGGCTGGGATAGTGGATTGGGGGTCCATGTTTGCATTACTGCAAGTAATGGGGAAATTGAATAGTAGGCCTGTATTATTTAATGGTACAGAATCAGCTGCAGAGATCGACGTTTGTCTGATGACGTTTCGGGAGTTATGGCGAAGTCAGGGAATCCTGTCCCCGGTTCCCGTGTGGATGTCAAAACATGTTATATCTAATTCTAAAATAATTCACGAGCTGAAAGCTAAAGTTACTCCAATAAAGTACAGACACTTCCATTGTGATATTTCATGCCCAACTAATTTTGATTAATGTTCATTTGTTGCCGATAATGTCTGTTATTCCAAAGTATACAATCATAAATTATTTTCTTTGTTTTTCCTAGAAATAATGTTTATTGTAATTATGTTCAGGCCCGCAGTATTGCTTAAGGAGTTACTCTAGGCTGTTAGCTTTCACGGGCTTTGAATTAACTGTCAAATTAATTGACATGAAATCTATCGATTGTTCTATGGGGCTAATCGCAGTGTAGTTAATCAACTCTGTCAGCAGGGGGCGCTGGATTCAATTTCCGCCCTAAATGGTGCTTGTCCTTCAGTCTGACCTCTGTATGTGAACCAGCTGTCATATATATAATAAAACAGCGCGGATCGACAATTTGGTAGTGAACCATGGGTCCAGTGGTGGCTGTCTTCTGGGTTGTAGCGCCGTGTAGTCTGGTAGAAATTTATCAGCGTTTCAGAGGCCCTTGTCATCAGGATACAATTACCCTGAAACGTTGATAAACTTTTACCTGGCCACAATGTGCTAGAGCCTAAAAGACAACCATCTTCGAACTCACCACGGCGAAAGCGTCAAATCCTATAGACAAGTGTTGGTTGGTGTTTTATTTAATCGCTGTTTTTAATTTTTTTAAATTTGTGTTATATTCTTTATGAGATGATAAAGTTGCGTTATATTGTGATAAATATATATTTGTTTAAATCTTGTCAGTCTAATCACAATAAAATTCCTATTAAATATTAAAATATTACCATAATTACATTTAAATATTTAAATGTTAATTAATATTACCATAATTAACATTTAAATATTTAAATGTAATTATGGTAATATTTTAATATTTAATAGGAATTTTATTGTGATTAGACTGACAAGATTTAAACAAATAAACAAATTTATATTCTTTAATTAAGCAAAGGCAAGTAATTTAATTTTTGGAGTTTATACATATATTGTTCGCATTTTGAATGCTCCTGCCTCTTACATTAGGAACAAATGTGTTTTAAATACCAGCTGCTTCATATTTTATCGTCATTCTTTGACGAACAGTTTACTATTTGTCTGCGTAGACAAACCTTAATATGCTAGTCCTTGCTCTCTTGCCTCTGTCTGCTTTGTCCTTATTCTTTCGTCCAGGGTTTGAATGAAGGGCCAGTTATTTGTAATAACAAGAGAGAGAATTCGTTTGAATACGTTATTGATTTTATGTACTGAAGGCTACTTCCGATGATGTGTAAAAAGGGGAAATTCGATAGATTTTCCACCGTAAGCTTTGAGGATGCACAGGGAAATGTCTGCTTATTTCACCACGGTTGCCTGATCTCGGATTGAAGGTTGTGCAGAAATATTTCTTGTTTTTAGTATCGTCTCATCCGTCATATATCTGGGCCGAGGGTGGACATGCACAATATTGTACCAATATTCTGTTGTATATGACTATTTTATAATGTGTAAGACGTTCTCATCTTCAATTAATATCATAATTTTAAACTTAAAATAAAATATATCAAGTAGATATGTCAGATAACTACAACCAATCTTCTGAAAACAGCATTTAACTTCGATCGATTTGATAAGATGATTTGTGTACTGCGGACTGGCGAAAGTGTTAGGGGTGAGGTGACCATCGTCATCTTTTGTGTGCGTACGTGACGTCTTGACATGGGAACACCAGGACCTGTCAGACGTCTGAGCTAACCTGCTTGATTCTGACCGTGTGGGGTGATGTTTCAATGGCGGGATGGAAATCGCTTAACGTTCCTACAAAATAGACCTGAATTCTGTCGTCGCTTTGTAGTGGCAGTGGAGATTCGTCGAGCGTGTGGCCTTAAGGGTCGACGGTGGCGGAAACACGGCCTCTTGAATGGGGTTGGAGGGGCTAGAATCGATTATCGATCAAGTCTCGACAGGAATGCTATATGAAGGATGCTGGGACTCGTAAGGCGCCTTGAATTTGTTGGGCTCGTAGTTTGGTCTCCAGGGGCAAGGACAGGCGTGCGTCTGGAACAGAGCATCAGTTACTGCCCGTTGAATGCAATCTGTGTTACCTTGTTACCCCTTGTTTGGTCCCATGCATACTCTTTTTATAAAGTGTGTTGGCAAACCTGATGAGGGAACATATTCCTTCTAGGTATGAAATGAAGCTCGCGTTAATATTTGAAAATTCAATTCGTGCATCATTGAAAATACAACATTTTTTTTTCAACACAAAGATCAAGTGGTTAATGCTGTTTAGAGAAATATTGGTAGGTTATTCTGGGCAACGAAACCCATAAATATAAAATACAGAGGTATTGATCGTTAAAGCAACCTGTATACAAAATTACCACTGGACTTTAAACGGGCAACATCGGTCTCTGTCTTTCGTGAAATGAAATTTCTCTCGTTTTGTTTTCGTGTCAAATTAATCTCTTAGGGAGAGACGCAGATTCAGGGTTTTCGAAAACAGGGTGATGATGGAAATATTT